CCAAGTAGCCGGAACTACACCCGGCTAGATTTTGATTTGTTGCAGAGAGGTCTCACCAAGTTGCTCGGGCGTGTCTTGAACCCGCGGGCTCAGGCAATCCACTCACCTCGGTCTTCTAAAGCTCTGGGATTACAGGCTGAGCCACCGCGTCCGGCCAAGATAATATTTTTTACTCTCAGATCGGTGAGGGTTATAGTGTATTTTAATACTTATTTAAATGTTCCTGGTGTTTCAACGTCCTTTCCTCTCAGGTATTTTTAATGTATTGTTGGCTAGGTCCTTTACCTAACATGCTGTATAGCATCATGTTAATAAAGTTAGTGTCAAAAAAAATTTTTTTTAAGACTAAGTGCTTAACAAGAGGCGGGATTCCCCTTTAGGGTCACTGGGAGGAGGGCGGGAACAAGACCAGAGCAAAGCTTCCGCTTTCATTTCTACGATTATTAAGTAGTCAACCTTTCTCATTAAAGGAGTACCGCGGAAGGGTGATTTTCTGTCGGCAAAATACTTCCCTAACGACGAGTCCATCCATGAGACAGGTATGTCATAATATCGCACCACAACGAGTATTCCCTAAGAGCTCCGAAACCAATCAGATGACTTAAGTTCTGGTAGAACATTAAATTACAATTCATCTGACTTGTTGGTTTCCTTCTTTTCCCTCCGTCTCAAAAATGCTGAACTTCTAAATTAGATTCCACCCCCCTCCATTCCTGGCCAGTGGTTTGGTCCGACCTTAATACTGACAGGAGGCACGAGCTGCGTTTGCGCAGAAAGCTGGCGGGGGGGTGGGGGGAGGAACATGGCGCAAGCTCTCTCTGAGGAGGAGTTTCAGCGGATGCAGGTGCCGCTCGCGGTGGGAAAGACCACCGGGCTAGGCGTCGAGGGGCGGGGTAGAGAGAGGTCGTGCCACCAACTCTGAGAAGGGGTTGGTTGAGATGGACCCTGAGTCTAAGGGGTTGGTCTGGAGAAGGGAAACTGAGGCTCCGAGTGGTGAGACTCTTGGATTCCAGGATACTATGAGGTTCTGAAGGTTGGATTCTGTTAGTCTTGCGGCGGGGGGAGCGGCATCCTTAAGTAGGCGATACCTTACTCAGACCTGGAGGGGACGAGACTTTTGGGCCCATGCAGGGGACACCATCTGTGAGTGATGATAATGTTGGGCTTTGAGGGAAGGAGATCCCGAGAAGGCGAAACCATTTTGTCTGGAGAGGAAGGAAGCGGGTGTTGGGCTGTTTGCGTCATGGTGGGGGGAGCCCTTGAGGGCAATATCATTAGCGGTGGGAGGTGGAAACTTTGTAGGAGATACCAGTGTGCTAGGGGATTGGGGAAAGACCCCAGGTGTTGTCATTGTTCCTGGCAGGTGGTGATCCTGTGCAAGTGGTAGTGTATCCTAAAGGGGGGCGGTACCATTGGATGGTTAAGAGTGATCCCAATGGGCCTAGGTTGAAGAAGGCCTTGAATGGGTAAATCCTATTAATTGAGGGGAGGACCAGAGGAGGTGAAAGAACGATACCTTGGACTGCATGGAGAGGAGGTTATTGGGCTTTTGGGAGGTGCCCTGACTAGGTACTCTGACCACTTGATTCTTTGGGAGGGGACTCGGAGATGGGAAGAAAGACCATAGCATTGCATCAGGAGTGGATTCTTGTTGAGAAAGTCCCTCACTGGGGGAGTCTTGAAGGGGGAAACCCTGAATAGGGTCCTGTAGGGGGAAGGGAGGAACTCTTAAGTGAGGATAGGTAATCCCTATCAGTCCTTATGTGAGGGAAACCAGCTATCCCTGTGTGAGGGACATTGAGGACGGAAGGGTGAGCTCATTGAATCATGAATGGGGAAGACCACTGTAATCGACAGGGGCTTGTAAGTAAGGTAATTCAGCTGGCTCACCCAAGGCCCTGTAGAGGAAAGACCCTGAAGGATGTAGGGTTATCCCGTTAGAGCATGACTGGGGAAATATTGAGGCAAGTGGAGGGGGACCCTTGAGTGAGGAAGATTCATGCCACTGGGCCATGAGTGAGGGAAAACTACTGGGATCTGTTAGGGAGGGACTCTATTGGGGTGAAAAGGGCATTCCAATTTGACCAGGACTGGGAGAGACAGATCACTGGGTTCTGGGACAGAGGCAGGAAAGATTCTGTAAAGGCCAAGCCCTCTGACCTTGAGCAGACTGACTATCAGGGTGTGGGAGGAGGAGGCTGGGAGGGAAGAGTCCTGGTGGGGTAAAGGACAGTGAGTGGGTCTGGGAAGAACCAACCTCAGGGCCCTACAGGGCTGGGAGGGAGAAATGTGCTATTTGAAATGGCCCATACTTCACTTTCCCTTAATTCTTAAAGGGGGCCTGGACATGTTTTGAGAGCCAAGGGGGTGGAAGGATCCTGGAAAGCCCTCTGACCCAGTGAAAGTTGGGCAGGAGAATACCAGATCCTTTCCCTTGGGAAAGAGGGAGGAAGACAGGCCCCTGCTCCCTGCTTTCAGGGGTCTCCAGTTCTGGCCAGGAAGCCAAACAACACCCCTAACAGTGTTCAGTGTATGAAGAGGTCAGCCAAGATGAGGAAAAGGAACTTTATCCTGTGGGTATGGAGAGCCATGGAATGCACATGAACAAGAACCTAACTGAGGCAATGCTCTGTGATGGTCTGAGTACAGAGTGGATTGGAGGGGGCAGGCAGAGGCAGCAGGGAGATGCAGGGATGAGGCTGGCTGGGGTTATAAGTGCAGCTGGAGAAGGTAAGATGGGCTGAGGGTCTAGAAGCTCATTTAGAATATAACATGTACAAGTCTAAAGAGACACATGGAGGGCATAGGGTCCATGGGGCTTAGCAGCTTGGTTTCCTCATGGTGGAGGTAGAGACACTTTCCTGACCAAGTCTTTTCATTTCCTTGCTTCACCCAAAGGCTCAGCTCCTGGAACTCCGGACAAACAACTACCAGCTTTCAGATGAACTACGCAAGAATGGTGTTGGTGAGCCAGGAGGGTCTTATTAGCGGGGGGTGGCTTTGGGGCACAGGTTTTCCCTCAAAGTCCTGGCAGGAAGAACTTTCATTCCTTGTCACTACCTGTCGTTAAGATTCCCTGATTTTTTTCCACACTAGAACTTGCCAGTCTTCGACAGAAGGTCGCCTACCTGGATAAAGAGTTCAGCAAAGCTCAGAAGGTACCTCTCTCCATCCACCCACCCATCCTTCCCTCTACCCATCTGACTCACTCATCTATACAGTGAGCACCTAAGGTGAACCAGACCTAATGTTGCTTGCTGCTTTTATGTAGTCATTTAAAGAATTCTCATGGAAGCCTCTTTCATTTGCTGATTTTACCTAATCTTGCTTAATTTATTGATTAATTTTAGTTTACTATTAATTCATTGCTAATTTCAGTTACTTATTCTGATTCACTAACTTTTAATTAAATAGTCAAATTTGACTGGGTACAGTAGCTCATTCCTATAATCCCAGCATATTGGGAGGCCGAAGTGAAAAGATTGCCTGAGCCCACGGATTCGAGTCCAGCCAGGCAACTTGGTGAGACCTCATCTCTATGATAAATAAAAAAATTAGTTGGGTGCGGTGGCACGTGCCTGTAGTTCCAGCTACTTGGAAGGCTGAGGCAGAAGGATCACCTGAGCCCAGCAGGTCGAGGCTGCAGTGGCCGTGAGCGTGCCACTGCACTCCAGCCTGGGCGACAGAGTGAGACTCCAATGCAAAAAAAAAAAAAAAATGCCAAATTTACCAGTAAATCTGCCTTGAATGTGCCTTCTATACGCCACTCACACTCTTGCCTTGTGCTCCTACCTCCCATCCTTGTCCTGGTCCAGTTGATAAAATGAAACCAAGTCCACCTCTCAGATCCTCTAAAGATAAGATAGAATATAATCTATTGTGACCCCTCAAGACAGTTAAGGTCCTCCCTTGTCTCCTTCACTGCTTTGTCCCCTTGCTTAGCACAATGTTATACTTAGTGTGCTCTCAATAAATATTTGATGGATGAAGGAATAAAGAATGCACGCTCTCCAGCAGTCAGGAAACTGGACTTCTCTTTGGTAGGGTGCTGATTTCCCAAACTTGGCAATACTCTTGGCTACCCAGCAGGGGAGCAACAGTTCCTGGATTGCGTGGGAAGTTTCCACATTAGACATGTTTAGGCAGATGTAGCAATGAAGCCACAATTTCTGAGTCTGGAGTTCCAGCCCATAAAGGGTTAAATATTAAGACTCCTCTGACCACCCTCAAAAGCTTAGAGGGAAGGATGATTTCTGTGTGCTGGGGCCCAAGGCAGGATTTGCATTTATTCATTCACTTACTCACTCATTCTGTCATTCTGGAATGACAGAAATTGTCCAAGTTGTCATACAAGTTCTGTGGATGAAGACACTCCCATCCTCCAACCCCTGTAATCATTGTCCCCCCCTTAGCACTAGCCACAATTGTCTCCATACCTTAGTGAGGGAGTCCATGTCTGTTCACTTTAGCTCTCTTTCCACCCACCCCCCATTTAGGCACTGAGCAAGAGCAAGAAAGCTCAGGTAAGAGGACCCATGTGGGTGAATGTATCTGGGAGACTGTCTTGGTGGGATATTTCTGTATGCTGGGATCTCCTTGTACTGGCCTGCCTTTCTTTGTGTGTGCCCTTGCGTCTGCAACTACCTCACTGCCATGTGTTTGTGTCTGTTGCTATTTTCCTGTGTTTGCCTTGAACTCTGTGCCTCTGTGTGTGTGTCTCTTTCCTTCTCCCTTTCTCTCTCCATATCTTTTTGTCTCTCTGCCTATCTCTTTCTGTTCTTCTCTCTTGGACTCTTGTTTCTCTCCCCACCCTGTTACTATCTTTGTCGTCATTTCTCTCTTTTGTTTTTTCCCTGTTTCTCTCTCTCACTCCTTGTTTCTCTTTCCCCGGTCCTGTACATCTCTTCCTTACACTTTTTTTTTGAGTTGGGATCTCACTCTGTTGCCCAGGCTGGAGTGCAGTGACATAATCATGATTCACTGCAGCCTTGACCTCCTGGGTTCAAGCCTACCTCAGCCTCCTGAGTAGCTGGGACTACAGGTGCATGCCACCATACCTGGCTACATTTTCTTTTTAATTTTGTAGAGACTAGGCCTTGCTATGTTGCTTGTGCTAATCTTGAACTCTTAGGTTCAAGCAATCCTCCCACCTCAGCCTCCTAAAGTGCTGGGATTATAGGTGTGAGTCACTATGCCCAGATCGTAACTTATTTCTTTCCCTGACCCCTCTCTCTTCTCTCTATATCAAGTTCTCTCTGTTTTTTTTCTCTCTGTCTTCCTGCCTTTTCCTATTCATTCTCTCCCTCCTAATCCCTGTCTCCTTTCCTATCTTCCTCTTTTTCCCCATCTCTCTCTACCTCCTCTCTCCCCTATCAGTATCTTCCTCTCTTTCTCCTTTCTTTTTCCTTCCCTGTCTTCCCTTCTCTCTACCTTCCCATATCTCTTTCTTGTTCCGTCTCTCATTTTATGTCTCCCTGTGTCTCTCCTGTATCACCTCATTCTCTGTATCCTGTGTCTTCCCCCATGTCATTTTCTCCCTCTTCCTGTCTCTTTGTCCTACATTCCCATCCTTTTTGCCCTGGCTCATGTCTGCCACTGCAGGAAGTCGAGGTACTGCTGAGTGAAAATGAGATGCTGCAGGCAAAGCTGCACGGCCAGGAGGAGGACTTCCGTTTGCAAAACAGCACGCTAATGGCGGAGTTCAGCAAGGTGCTGGTGCCTGGGATAGTCAAGGGGGAAATGAGGGGTAGGGACTACCTGGACTGAAACTTGGCAGCAGCAGAGTGATTGGACAAGGGTCTGGCCCTGGAGCACTGTCCGTGGTGCTGAAACAAGTCCTGGATTGCTGCGGGGGGGGGGGGGAAGTAATTTGCCAGATGGGGCCAATCATTGTGCTGGATTAGAAGGCTTTGAGCCCTGAGATCAGCTGGCTCCTGGCCAAGTCAATCCTTTTCTTTAAGCTTGAAGTCTCCACATATAACTTGGGGTTGATGCTATGGAGCCTCAAGGTGTTAGAAATGTTTTAGGTCAAGTTCCTATGCTTAAAATAAGATGGAAGGTGTTCGAGGTGTTTCCCTTTTCTCTTTCTTCTCTTCATTTGACATAAGCCTGGGCTTCTACTTGTTCCGGATAATTCATTCTGGATTGGTTAATTCTATCTCTCTCCTCACTGATTTAGTGTTGTGGCTGTTTTTGAGTCTACTGGGAAATTAGAGATGTTGTCTTTTGTTCCTTTAGCTTCTGTGTCCACAGTTAATAACTTTCTAAGTTTTTAGGGAAAAAGTCTTATGGCAGCAAAAATGGTATTTCCGAGGCCCCACCTGAAAATGTAGTAGTGAAGATCTTAAAAACCAAAACAAAACAACAAATAAACTTTAAGCAGGTATAATACCAGGAGAGGCAGTTTAGCAAGTATCAGTTATGAGCAGGGATTCTGGAACCAGAATGCCCAGATTAAAATCTTGGCTCTACCTTTTACTAACTGTAACCTTGAGCAAGTCACTCACCCTGCCTGGATCTTGGTTCCCAGAGGTGTAAAATGGAAATGATGATAATAACTGTACCTGTCTCACAGGGCTTTTATGAGGAATAAATGGGTAAATGTGTGCAAGTCACTTAGAACAGATCCTTACGCATAGTATCAGTATGAAAGTGTTAGCTACTAATATTATTATTATTATTATTTTATTATTATTATTTTGAGTTGGAGTCTCACTCCATTGCACAGGCTGGAGTGCAGTGGCACACTCACAGCCCAGCATCAACCCTCTGGGCTCAGGTGATCCTTCCACCTCAGCTTTCCAAGTAGTCAGAACTACAGGTGCACGCTACCACGCCCGGCTAATTTTTAAATTTATTTATTATAGAGGCAAGGTCTCGCCAAGTTGCCCAGGCTGGTCTTGAACCCGCGGGCTCAGGCAATCTACTCGCCTCGGCCTCCCAAACTGCTGGGATTACAGGCTAAGACACCAAGCCTGGTCTAATATTATTTTTCTTTTTTTTTTTTTCTTTTCTTTCTTTCTTTCTTATCTACTTATTTATTTATTTATTGTAGAGATGAAGTCTCTCCAAGTTACCCAGGCTGGTTTCAAACCCACAGGCTCAGGCAGTCCTCTCACCTTGGTCTCCCAAAGTGCTGGGATTATAGTCATGAGCCACTGTGCCTGGCCTATTTTTCTATTAATTTATTTTCCCTCTAAAATATTCCTTGACTTTTAAAAAGTTTGATTTCCATCCTGTGGTTCTGCCCTGCCTCAGGCTTTACCACTTCTCATCTGCTCTGTTTCCGTAGCCTCCTCCCTGGTCTCTTTGCTTCTGGTTTCCTCTACCAGTACATTCCACAGAGGATATTCTGAAATGCAGGTCTTATCACATCACTGCTTTTGTGTGTGTGTGTGTTGGAGTCTCATTCTGTCGCCCAGACTGGAGTGCAGTGGCACACTCCCAGCCACTGCAGCCTTGACCTGCTGGGCTGCGGCGATCCTTCTGCCTCAGCCTTCCAAGTAGCGGAGCTACAGGCACGTGCTACCACGCCAAGCTAATTTTTGATTTATTGTAGAGATGAGGTCTTGCCAAGTTGCCCAGGCGGATCTTGAACCTGCAGGCTCAGGTAATTCACTCACCTCAGCCTCCTAAAGCATGGGATTACAGGCTGAGCCACCGAGCCCGGCTCACATCACTGCTTTAAATAATCCCTTCCAGTGTCTCCCTGCTCCTACTTCAGAGCCTCTGGTGCTCACATAGCCACTGGCCTCACTGCATTTCTCACTGCTTCCTGCCTCCAGCCTCCATGGTGTCATGCTTCTTAACAGGGGCAGGCATTATTCCATAAATCCAGCTCATGTTTCCCTACACCTGCCCTGGACTGTGCACTAGGCTTGGTATAGAGACTTCCTCCATAGTCCTCCTTCTTCCAGGAACTGGAAGTGCTCACAGAGACCTGGGTTCAGAGCCTACCTCTACCCCTTATTTGCTAAGATACTTCGGCTCAATGTCCCTTCAACAAATAGTTACTTGCTGGGCTCAGTGGCTCAACCTGTAATCCCAGCACTTTGGGAGGCTGAGGTGAGTGGATTGCCTGAGTCCGCGGGTTCGAGACCCGCCTGGGCAACTTGG